TTTTTATTGGTGACCATTCTTGGAATAAGTCCGGTGATAATTTTTCTGGTAATGCGTCTCACATCCCATATGCAGGTCTTTGCATCAACTCTGATTGGACAAAACAAGAAACTACTGCGTGAAAGACAAAGGGCATGTTCTCTGCTCTATCGTCTTCTGCCAAAGGCAGTAGCCAATCAGCTTAAAAAAAACGAGAAAGTTACAGCTGAGTCATATGACATGGCAACTGTGTTCTTCTCCGATATCGTAGGCTTCACCAGTATTTGTTCTCTTAGTTCCCCCTTACAAGTTGTCAGAATGCTGAATTCACTCTACTCATTGTTTGATCAGCGCATTGGCCAATATGATGTGTATAAAGTGGAGACCATTGGTGATGCGTACATGGTTGTATCAGGTACGAGTTTAACATTATTTCTCAGTACTTATTTACTGTTATAATGCTGTACCATTACTTTCACCATCCTACTACAGCCAGATCTGAAGGCCTTTTCCACATTCTGGCCACGTTGTTTGGCGCGGATCGCGTGGTCGGGTTTCATGTTCTCTGTACGTAATAAGCTCGGTTAATAAGCACCCTTATTTGGGGGTGCCTGGTGGTGGGGAAGACGTGTAGTGGTATGAAGCTAGGCGATTAGGTGCTGTACGCATGTTTACTGTAATTTGACGTAGTATTTACCTTGCCGTTTATTCGGTGTTATTTGCTTACTGTGTCAGGTAGTGTCGTTTAATATCTTATATAGTAAAACATTTTCTTCAATATTTCATATGGAATGCATGCCTTTTTACATACAAACCCAGACCAGGCACGTAAGCAAGTATGTAATGAGTAAACATAGTTTCTATTATATGTAGGTGTACCTCTTCGCAATGGAAAACAACACGTGGGAGAAATTGCTTCATTGTCATTGGATCTACAGTACAACATATCAAAGCTGGAAATACCTCATTTGCCTGGAACCACATTAAAATTGCGTATTGGAATACACACAGGTGATGTCATCACAAATATATTTCTAATTCACATATGCATAGTCTCTCGGCATATGATTTGATGTAACTATACATTTGTATTCACAAGCGTCATATCAACAAATATTGCGCAATTATTGGGCTAGGGATATTTTTGGTTGTCATTATATATGAAACATGTGCCATAGTATATGTACCACAAAAATAATGCGATGGTTTGGCTGAATTACGTAGATGTAGAACAAACTATTCAACGCTGCACATATCTTGATAAAGTACATTGTTGTAGACAATACATTTTTCATGTAGATATAATATAATTACAGGTAAAGTTGTTGCTGGTATTGTTGGAACAAAAATGCCTCGCTATTGTTTATTTGGTGAAACTGTAAACATCGCTGAACGCATCGAAAACGCAGGATTACGTAAGTCTGGTTAATCCCTGAATCACAAAAAAAAAATTCTATATGAATTATAGTGTATATACAATTATTGCATTTACTAACTAAAGAATACATATCACTCATTATCTTTGTTTTCAGCTGATCGCATTCATGTTAGCAAACATTCACATGACCTTCTCACAGAAATAGGTGGATATTATATGTCTGAAAGAGGTATCATGGACTTTGAGGTAAATACCTGATTGTAGAACTAGTTAATATATATATAACTTTTTAAATGCCATATGTTTTCAGGACCAAATTTTGGGTACCACAGTTTCATTTTTTCCATATAGCTACCGTGTTATTTGTTAAACAAATGGGCATACTTCTCGTTGCTAGTATTTCTATATTGTTCATTTGTATGGTTTTCTTTTCGTCACAGGGTAAAGGACAATTTAAAACTTACTGGCTGAATGGAAAGGATGGTTTTGAACCGGAAAACGCATTCGATGCAACTCCAAACATCAACGTACCGTCGTTATGCAATTAGATTGAAGATACAAAGTCTATGCCAAGTGTTTGGGAAAATGTTATGACAAATGATGTGCTGATCTCAATTTTATATTGTTGTTAAATACACCAGATCTTTCATAATTAGAAAGTATATGGCAATCGAGGATTTCCATGAACCATCCATGTTAGTTTGCTGACGTGTATGTGATACAGTTGAGCAATTAAAATAAAACAAAACCTGTAGAATTCACTTAATACTTTATTATAACGTGTTACATATTACGATTTATAAATTACACTAGGCAGGTACAATTGCATATGTACATTGGTACGTATTTATTCGTATTAATAACAATTTTGG